GATGATGGAAAACATGTTTTCAAGGTCAGGTTATTGCCTTGGTTTTGCACAACATGTTTTTATGAGATACCGACTTTCTGTCTGTTCTCCTGACAACCATCAAACTTGTTTTTCACTGCTCTCACGTGATCCGGTCAGGGAGGGGTATATAAGAAATGTAACGAACACAGAGAAATTAGAAGTCTGCTGCGGACCACGTGCGAGGTGCCCAGCTCTGTTTGTGTGATTCCTGTCACTCGGGTCGAAGGCTTCCCGACCACGTGTCACGGTGAGAGGCTCTCATATCAATTTGTGTGTAAAGAGTTTGCTTGGCTGTTTTCTGTGGCAGATTAATAAATGAAACTATTATTTCTAGCAGGACAGTCTCCTCTGATTTATTTCCTCTCGTGTGAATTATTGGGGCCGACCATTCACGAACCTTTGTTAAAGAAATTTCATAAAACAGTAATACATTTATGTTTTTAAATGTAATGAAAGACAAACCTTTAAAATTTAAGGACAAAATTTAACCTAATTGTTTTCAAGTCTGTAGCTTGTCATAAAAGTAGTTTCAAAGATTACAGCACAGTGTGATGTTTTGCAATTTTAACATGAACCTTGTGCATATCTGTAAATAATAAAAGTGAAGATATTTTTAATGCATCTTTATTGTAAAAATCTATACTAAAATAGAAAACACATGGGTTTAAAGCAGGCAGGAAGGCTGTAAGGTAGGATAGTGAATCAGGTTTCAAAGTTACAGCTCATGAGGTACTCCATTAAAGCATGACTTCTCTTCCACAACATCGTGTGACAAAGCCTTCAAGGTGTTCTTCTTCTAATATGCTTAGTGGTGTCTAGTAAATAGCTTAAGGGAGCACTATCACCACCAGGTGGTAAGACGAGTTGGATTCTGGACGTTGCCTACAGAACCGGTCCAGAAGTGTAAATGGAAACGCAATGACACACGAGCCAATCTAAACCGACCCGAACTGACCTGATCCGCACCGTAACAGTGGAAAAGGGGCACAAGGATCATGTTTTGGCTCCACGCTGACTGATAGTGACATGTTCATTTACTGGAAGCAGAATTAGATTCAATTTCCCATTCTGACCTTTAACCTTGTCAGCTTGTCTGATCTCTTCCAGTGCCTCCTGAGCTCTGCCTTTGCTGCTTGTTTCCATGGTAACCACAGGCCCAATAGGTAGTCCCAAAGCTCGAAGTGCAGAGGCCAATTCCTGTCCGGTGTTCTCCCAGAAGTCAGTTGGAGCTGAGCATCATTTAATAAACAGAGAAGAGGAAAAAGAGAAAAAAAATTAAAGAAATGCAAAACAATTTGGTTAGTATTCTTTATTTTCATTTAAAAAAAACTGTGTCCAAACTAAAAGTATTCTATAATCGTCTTTTTCCTTTTAGCTGTTCAGGGGTCTCCGCAGCAAGTCATCCTACTCTGTCATCATTCTGTCCACTGTGTCCTCTATCCTTACTTTTTATTTTATTTTATTTTTATTTAACCTTTATTTCACCAGGAAAATCCCATGAGATTAAAAATCTAAACTGACATTTATTTTCTAAACACAATGTCCCAGTGGCTTTTAAACCCCCAAATACATTAAAGACTGGTTCATCCCAAATATCCAGTCCCCCGGCACAAACAGAGTAATATTGTGTATGTTGTTCAGTGTCAGGAGGATGATCAGTCTTACATCGGGGAAACTAAACAGCCACTGGCCAAAAGGATGGCCCAGCACAGAAGAGCAACACCATCAGGCCAGGACTCTGTGGTCTACACTCATCTCCAGGCCAGAGGTCACTCTTTCAGGGATGAAGATGTTCACATCCTGGATAGAGAGGAACGATGGTTTGAGAGAGGAGTAAAGGAGGCCATCTTTGTGAAAAGAAACAGTCCATCATTAAACAGGGGTGGAGCCTCCGGGTTCAACTGTCCCCCTCTTACAATACTGTTATTGCTAGTGTCACTCAACCCCCTGTGAATACATAGTTCCCATGCATGTGACCGGTTTTGCACAATACCGGGTTTTCTGCCATTTGTTGAGGCACAAGTGAAGATGGCGGCTTACAGACAGACCAGAGCTCAGTAACAAGCGCCTTAGGGATAAAACCCACTAGCGACAGTCTTAAAGGGCGAAGCCTATATGAAATAGAACAAATAATTCAATAGAACAAATGTTGTAATACCCAAAAGATGAACTTGTGTTATGGAATATTTTAAGTACAGACGGCATCCCACTGCTTTATTCAATCATGAGAGTGAAGAGGGACTCAACATCAGAACAAACTGATAGTTCTAGTCTGACAATGTTGCAGTGTTCAAATATTATGTATATTAAATACAATGTGTGTGTGTGATGTATATACCATACCATACCATACCAATTTATTTATAAAGCACTTTAAACAGTGACAAAGCACACCAAAGTGCTGTACAGGGACAAACAGAACAAGCACATAGCAACAGATTACATAACAGGACACCAAAAAGTAGAAACCAACAGAAACAATAATGGATAACAACAACAACCGCAACATGACTAACACAGTGTGATGCACACAGACTCAGCACAGATCACACAGTGCAGAAAGCCAGGGAATAAAAGTGTGTTTTTAAGCGAGATTTAAAAACTGTGAGGGAGGGGGCCTGTCTAACGAGCAGAGGTAACTCATTCCAAAGTCTTGGGCCTGCTACAGAGAAGGCCCTGTCACCTCTGC